TTTTTTTTCCTCTTTTTTCTTTTTTCTTTTCTTTTTTTTCTTTTTTCCTTTTTTTCCTCTTTTGTTTTGCCTTTTCCCATTTTTTTTCCTTTCCCTCTTCCTCTCTCCTTCTCCCCCCTTTTTTTTTCTTTTTATTCCCTCTGCTTCCTCCCTACTCTACCCCTCACCTCTTTTCCCCCGTGGAGTTTGGCAAGGGCAGGGATGGACAAGAGTGGGGATATCCCCGTGGCTGTGCCCAGCCGGGCTGGTGTGAGGGTTCGGGGTGCTGGGGGTGCTCTCAGTGACAAAGGCACTGGCTCACCTGCAGGCACTGCCCTTACTACCACAGCGTTGCCCTGCCAGCCCTGGACAGGGGCGAGGCTTGGTGTTTTGCCCAGTATTGGAGGGAAGAGACACGGTTTTTAATCACAGGGTGGTTATTTCAGGGAAGCAGGGGGTGCAGGAGGTGCTCTGCTGCTCTCAGCACACGGAAGGGAACAATGGGGCCACTGTGTGGCCGAACGCCCCGGCTCCTGTCAGAAAGGTCCAGTGAGGGGTTTTCAGCACGTTTCTATTCCCCTGCTCAGGTATAATTACACAGGGGAACAAAGAGCCCTTCAAACCCACCCGCTCCCCCAGTGCAGCCCGGGGGCTCTGGGCACACGCACGTGTCGGCTCCCGGTGGGGTGTGAGGGGACAGGGACCATGCACACCCACAAAGGCAGCCCAGAGGGGCTGGTGACACTGGGCAGGGCATGGGGACAAACCCTGAGTGCATCTCGAGCTTTCCTGGGAGCCATGGCTGGAGTGGAGGCTCCTCTCCCAGAGTCACACTCTTGGTGTGCCCCCAGGGCAGAAACCAAAGAACAAATCTCACTCCAAGGCAGAAACCAAAGAGCACATCTCACCGTATCTCTCAGCACCAATCCTGCTTTGCTGTTTATTTAGCCATACACTGGAGAGGGTTTGATGAAGTACCTTTTCTTCTGCCTCTGGCCAGGCCTGATGAAGAGGTGAGGGGCACCAATGGGAGAGTTCAGGCTTCACCCCTGAGCTGTCCCAGCCCAAACTGGCCAGGGCAGGAGGATGGATTGAACAGGACGTGGGGCAGAGGGGTGCTTGCAGCCAGGGTGCTGGCATACTTCATGCAAGGCACTGCCTGCTGCCCACAGTGCCCTGGGCAAAGCCACGCTGGGATCCTGCTGAGCCCCACAGCCCTGGAACTGTGGACGAGCACCAGGGGCACTGCTCAGCTCCTCCACCAGCAGCTCCACTGACACCAAGATCTCACTGGGCTCATGGGGAGGGATTTATGCCCAGTCCTTTCCTCCTCAGTGCTGATCCATAACTGCCTGCCTGGTTTGCACCCTAATTACTGCAGCAGTGCATGGAAATCAGGCCTGGGCTTTTCAAGCCCGGTTGTTTATTTAAGCTGTTTAAAAAGCTACTTTCCCTCCCTAGTGAATTCTGAGAAAACTATCCGTGTGTTTCTTTTGAGAGCAGGATGAAAGCAGATTGCCAGCTCCCTCCATCCTACCCCCCCTCCAAGCTGGGCTCCTCAGAGCCCTCAGCAGTGCTGCAGTGGGGGGCTGGCCAGGGGGAGCCGTGTCCAGTACTGACTCTGCAGCCCTAATCTGGTCACCAAGCCCCAGGTTCAGCCTTGGGGCAGTGGTCCAGTGATGCAGCCTGATGGGATACTGCTGGCCCTTGGGCTTGGTCCTTCCCTGAGCTGCAGGGAGTCCAGAGCTTGCCAGGAATGAGCTTGTTTTTGACTTGTTTTGAGGAAAAAAACCCACAGAAAAAAGGAAACCTAACTTTCCACAGGCTTTTTGGCTGTGTGAGCAGGGCTGAGTGCCCAGGGCTGTGGGCACAGGAGCGTGACAGTCTCTACCCCTGAACATCCATCTCAGGACAGGGGGTAATAATACCTGCTCCTGGCACTGCTGGTGACATGAGCACCCACGGGTGTCTCCAGCTCGTTCTGTCCTTAATGCTATTTGGCTTTCTTTTAAGGTCTGGCCAGCAGGGCCTCATGCCTGAGCAGTTCCTGATGCACTGGAAGCCTCTTGAGCAGGTAATTGTAATTCCTCAGCAACCCAACTCGGTTTATTTTGGCCCCAGCATAGTTTTGCATCCTGACGCCCAGCTGGGTAATTTATAGCCCTGTCAGAAAAAGGATAAAGTCAGCACAGGGTTTCTGGGCACTGCCCAAACCTGCAGCCCTGTGTGCTGGTGCCCTTGAAGGGCAGGGTAATGGGACCCTATTGGGGTCTGTGGGCAGGGCTTGACCAGCGTGGGGGCCTGGTAGGGGGGACATTTTATGGCTCATGATGCAGTAATTGGCCCCTTGGCTCAGTCTTGTTGGCCAAGCCCTGTTTGTGGAGTGGACCAGCCCTGGGCTTCAGTCCCAGGGGCACCACATTTCCAAGAAAAAGTTTTTTTTCGCTGTACCTTTCCCTCTACTGGGCAGAGCAGCATCCCCACATTCCCCACTCTGGGGGGCTGGGAATGCAGACACTGCCCCAGAGCAGCGTGGGCTGTGGCAGGATGGGTGCAGGTGGTGTGATGAGTGTGGCAGTGCTCAGCAGGCTGGGGGCTGGTGTTGGGGGCTGTGGATTGGAGGCTGTGCTCTGTGTGCCGGGGCTGGGGCCGGGCCGGGCCGGGCTCACTAGATGGCAGCAGCTTCTTCCAAACGGGCAGCACGGTGTCACACAGCCCGGGCAGGGAGGGAGACAGAACGAGCTTAGCGTTCCTCTGGGATGCTGTGTCCTGGAGGGAAACCCGAGCTTTTATTTTCCTTTGCATGTTTTTGAAGGTAACGCTC